CTGCTGGATTTTACCCTTGCCCAAAACTATGAGTTGAACTCAACCACAGATGCAAGTTTCATTGCGTTCAGTATCTGATTTGATTGAAGAAGCAGCATGAGAAGAGGCAGCTTATTAAGAAGGGGTCTTCTGGATACAGTGGGCTTTCTCCAGAATAAATAAGCATGCCAGTTACCTTATTAAAATGGGCTTCTGGGCACTTCCGCTTGGGAAGGAGGGGACACCTTGGCTTCATGGGTTTGTTGCGTTCTTAATTTGTGATGCTTCTTTGTTGTCGTTCAGCTTGAAACATTTGAACTTTCCTCATTTCAGTAATGATCTGCTCATACCGGTTGGGGTTGACTGAGGAGGGGAGGGGTGGGGGGCGATTCCCCAATTGGGAGGCACAGTCAGGAACCAGAGGTTAGAAGGCTACAGGCAAAGGAAGGTCACGACCTCCTTTCCCCAGCCAAGAAGATGGCCGTAATGAGAGGTGATTTTTCTCTCTTGAAAAAGGGCAGTTGTTTGCATGAAGGAATGTGGATTCAAAGGGAAACATGCCGAGCTCACGAGGATTAAGCCTAATTATTTGCCCCGCTTCTCCGAGAAGGAACAGGATGTAAGTTTCTGATAGGAAATGGTGCTGGAGCAAAGGGGGTGGGGGGAGAAAACCAGAATGGGTCCCCTCCCTCCAAATTAGGCATGGAATGTGGAATTCAAGAAGGCCATTGAAGGTCCCACTCACTTCTAATCATCCTTATTAGAAGGCTCCTAATCTCTCTGGCTTGGGAACTTGCAAGTGATATTGGCAGTTGGCTTAGATTAATTAATGACCAAAAAAAACCCCCACCCTCATAATGGACGTTTGTGGAACCGGGGGGTGGGTGGGTGGGCTTTGTTTAACACAGGGCACCATTTTTAAGAGAATTGCTTTTGCAAGCGCCATTCCGCTCACCGCTCTTAGGAGAAATTCCTTTCGGAGGCTCCCACAAACACTTGAGTGACGGACCTAAGCAAGGCGGGGTGGGGACTGGGAAAGGTGATTTTAGGCCTATTGCAAGGGAGGGTTTTGGAAATGCAGAGGTGTGGGAGGGCGGGGGAGGTTGATTTTGATTAAATCCTGAATGTTGGGAAGGGGGAGATGCAACGTGTATGAATGGAGCACCCATAAATCCTTTGAGAAGGAAATTGGGTGGATGGCAGGGGTGAAAAGCTACCGGTTCACACCGATTCAGATTTGGTGAATTGGTAGCGGCGGCAGTGCGAAGCTTTGCCTGGACGTCGTCACTTCCTGATTTTAACCCTCTGCGCATGTGCAGAGGGTCCAAAATTGCATGTGACACGTGCAGGTGGAGCACGTACTTCCAAAACGGTAGGGAAGATAAGTAGATTTCACCCCTGGTGGATGGGAACTGTGTCTTTTAAGGGTCCCAGTCTCTAGTGCCATATTTCTCAACCGTAACCACTTGAAGATGGGTGGGCCAACTTCCAGCTACATTTAGGTAGGTAGAGAAAAGCATTTGGGGACAGCAAAGGAATCCTTCCCTGCTGTTACCTTGATTGCAGCCAGCAATGAAAATTTATTCCCCTGGATTACTTCTGCATGGAGTCACGCACCTGAGATGCCATACATTTTTGCCTCGATTCACATGTGTGTATTTCCAACCTGCAGTTGGCCTTTGAGCGATCTACAGAATACAGGACAACGCAGAACAAAGTTGGAAGGGACCTTGGAGGTCTTCTAGTCCCAATACCTTGCTCAGCCAGGAGATCCCATACCTTTCTGGACTGTCCCGGCTCTTCTTAGAAGCCTCCAGTGATGGAGCATCCACAAGTTCTGGAGGCCAGCCGTTCCACTGGTTAATTGTTCTCATTGTCATGAAATTTCTCTTCAGTTCTAGGTTGGTTCTGTCCTTCATTGGTTTCCATCCTTTGCTTCTCGTTCAGATGCTTCGGACAGCAGGCTGATTCTGCAAGCATCGTGTGAACCTGGCCCATTGAGCTAATTGGGTGTATTACCCGAAAACGGATTAATTCAGAGATCAGATTGAGGCCCTTCTGCAAACAAGTCTTGCATAGGATTTAGGAAAGTGGCAAATTTTACAATTAAGTTTCGAAAGAGGGTTCTTTGTCCAGTCGACTTATCTAGATTTTAGCTAAGCCTGTAGCTTTAAGATTAGTTTTTCATGATTTATAGAAGATTAGAGTTTCTTGCTGGCCTTTCATCAGATAGGTTTCACGTTTTATCTTGATTTATTAATTAGTTCTATTCTTCTCCTCCTCTCTTTTTTGGTTCCATTGTTGAAACCTAATGATTATTCTGCTTTGCGCCCTATTATGACCTATGATTACAGCCATAAATCTCAATGGACTTTTGTTTCACGCAAGGAGAAAAAAATTGCAAGTTATTTATAGGCAGTTGTGTTTGGGAGTGTTTGGGAGGCTGGACTTCTGGGGCTGTAAAAGTAGGATTTGGAAAGAGAAACGGAAGTGGGACTATGTAAAGAGGCAGACTTCTTTCTCTCATTTCTTTCTTTTGTTTCCAGAACGGAATTAAGTTTTCTTAATGTAACTTTTGGCTCTTAAGTGCGCATGGCATAAATCTCTCTGCTGCTTTTTCCCGTGCCTTGCGTTCTTTCCGTTGTAAATCCACAAGCCTCAATTTGTCAGTAAGTAAAATGGAGCGGGGGTTGGGGAGGAGTGATTTTAAAGGATAAAATCCCATCGATCTCGGTTGGTGCAAAGTATTTTTAAGTTCGTACCGCAGGAATAACTTTAAAATGTCTGGTTTTTGCGAGGAGCAACTGAGCAAGCCCAGACGGCAGAAAGTATGTTAAGTTTCTCCTAGGAGCTTTTTGGAACGTTAAATCATTTTTGCCAGAATGGGAGCCAACATTTTGTGGCATCGTGAAATTTATTAATGATCATAATCTTTTCTTTGGGTAGGAGTGAAACGATGCCCTTCGGTTGCTTATTGTGGGGTGGAAATGGAAGGAAGGTTTGCTGTGCATCCCACCTCCAGCTGTGGGTTGAAAGGCAAATCCCCCCCCAAAATAAATAAAATTGCGGTTGCACAATGAATAATGGAGAACGTCCTCTTTCTGCGTCATTGGTGATGGCTGGGGGAATTGGGTTGGGTGGTCCCTCTTAGCTGGATCCGACCACAGATCATTTTTGCTCCTGGTGACCAAGGAGAGCCTTGTTTGTGTGTGCCCGTTTTTGTAAGCAACAAAAAAAAAAATCCTTTTGTGTTGTCTTTCCTGATTCGTTGTGTATTTCAGATGCTTGCTTGGTCTTCCTCTGTTCAGCAGAATTCTCCAGCAAGCATGTTAATTAGCAGTGATAAGAGGAACCTTAATCTCTCTTGATAAGGAGACCAGGGCAAGTTGAGTGTGAAATTGGATTAGCCTCGGATTCTTTTGATGGCTGATTTTCAGGGGAAGTCGTAAACCATTAAGAGGGGACAATGCACGCTGGTGTGTCCAGGAGCGAGGATGGCATGTAAGCTCAAAAAGCTGACCAAGTGCTTCCGAAGAGGAAGGATGACGGAAGAGCCAAGGCGGCAGGGTGGAGAGTCTTGAGCTCAGCTGGATTTGGCCAACGGTGGTCAAAGTGACCTTGTTGGCCACTTCTGATCTTACAGTCGATGGATATTGGGTGTTGGAAGCTTCCCTGAAATCAGGGAAGGTAAACAAAGAAGGTGAATGATCCTACCTACAGATAATTTTTGAAAATGAAGACATTTTCTATCAGGGTCTGTGTGCGAGAAGGGTGGACACGCCTTTGGATCAAGGTTGTTAGCAAGATATCTTTGCCTTTATTTTCTGAGCTAACACCACATACTGAGCTGTAAACCAAGTATCAGGGATTGTGATTTAGGCTGTGGGTGACTTGTTGGGTTGTACAGATAAGGCTGCGAGTGGCAAGCATCAGAAAATCTGAAAAGATGTGGCCGAATAGGCAGAGAAGACTCAAAGGGCATTTCTGGGCTGGCCAGCTGCTTCTAAACTGATGACATATTTAACTCCGCCGTCCAGCTCAGCCTATTCTACATTTCTGTTCACTTTGATTTGAGTCTGGAGGTTGTGTTGCTGAACGGGGCTGCTTCTCAACAACAGCCCTGCGCAAACAAGGGGTACCCAAAAGGTGATGCGTGCTACAGGCTGGTTCTTTGTCCTTGGCCCATAAAATTTCAAACGGAGAAAACAGGAAAGCTGCGGCCAGGCCAGGCGTGACGCTCGTCCGTGACTCAGCCTGCAATTTTGGGTCTGAGACATGGATTTAAGGACGGATTTACTCGACTGAAAAAGATGACTCTGATCGGAAAACATGTTGAAGTGGTTAGGGGCAGGGTTCAAACAAAGATCACAAGAAGCGTGAATCTTTATGCCAACGGGGCTGGGCTGAGTTGCTGTCTTGCAAGGGCCACGCTGCCGTACATTGAAGTTGTGTGAAAGCTGTGTAGAGCCCTGGTAATCTCGGTGTGATGGCTGCCAACCAAGCCACGAATCCTAGCTTAGTGCCATGCAAAAACGCAGTCACCGTTTCACTTGAGTTCTTGCACTGTTGTGGCAGTGAGTTTGCACATCTGTTAACCTCTCTCTGAGGTCATGAGCACGAGGATGAAACAAAGGTCTTTTCTGGGGCCTCCCCCCCCCACACATCTTGGAAGCTCCCTTGTGGTTTTTAGAAGATTGCTAGAGACAGATTTGTTTTATTGGGCCCTTAACTCAGCCTCTGTCTGGTGGGCTGGTTGATTTATGATGACTCCCGGTTTTGTTCTGAATTATTCCTAATCCTTGCTTTTAGGAGGCTTACCTTGGGTAACCCACCCTGAGTGGAGTTACAAGAGGTTGGGCAGGTTCTAAAAAAACCGTAGGATGAATAAGATGCCCTTACGAAATACCTACCGGGAACTTGCTTTGTGGAGATTGGCGCGGCGAAGCTTCCAGGGGGTTGGCGTGGCCATGGGTGCTCAAGTGCTCCCTTTGATGTTTGTGTGTGTGTTGTTGTTTTTTTAGGTGATCACTTGAAAGTTTGCCCTCAAGGCTACACCTGCTGTTCCCAGGCCATGGAGGAGAAGTACTGGCAGCAGAGCAGGCAAGATTTCAGCCATGCCGTTGTCGAGCTGAGCAACAATTTGCAAGGCACCTTCGGTTCGCGATACAAGAAGTTTGATGGTGAGTCCCTGCTCCTGGGCGGCTTCTGAATCAAGAGTCACGTGTTGGAGGTTCAGACAGGGCTAGTTTGGGTCCCTCCTTCCTCTTCCCCTCCCCTCCTCTCTTCTCCTCTCCTCTTTTGTCTCTTCTCCCCTCCCCTCCTCTCTTCTCCTCCTGTGTCCTCCCCTTCCCTCCCCTCTTCTTTTGTCTCCTCTCCTCTTCTCCCCTCCCGTCTCTTCTCTTCTCCTCTCCCCTCCCCTCCTCTCCCCTCCCCTCCTCTTTTGTCTCTTCTCCTCTTCCCTCCCCTCCTCTTTTGTCTCCTCTCCTCTTCTCCCCTCCCGTCTCCTCTCTTTTCCCCTGCCCTTCTCTCTTCTTCCCTTTCCTCCTCTTTTGTCTCCTTTCCTCCTCCCCTCCCCTCCTCTCTTCTCCTCTCCCCTCCTCTCCCCTCCCCTCTTTTGTCTTGTCTCCTCTCCTCTCCCATGGCTTCTCTTGCTGGGTGACACCTGAGGTCTGTAACCAAGGTTAGAATAACCCTTGCTTGGTGCAAACACAGCCAGCAGATGCATTGATGGAGTCTCTTTGAGTGGCCCGCATGGGGAACGCAACCACGTTTCCACTTGTGGTTCCTAAATACCCACATAAAACCTGGAACCTAAATTTCAACCTGCGGCTCCCATAAAACCCTGTTGACTCGTCCCAAGTCTCAGTCTGATGGTTCTGGAGTATTTGTGGTTCATGGATTGCTGTGGGGATGGGAAACCGAGACTCAGGTGGGATTATTCTCCCCATTATTATTATTATTTTTTGGTTGGGAAATGCTGATTTCCAGCTCTTTCATTCATGGCATAACCTCCGCCTCAGCAGCCTTTCGGACAAAGGAAAATGTCTCTCTTATTTCTTGCATGGCTTTGCAAGGAGACCTTAAAACAACACGGGACCTCAAAGGTCATTTCGGAACCTATTTTGCTTAGGTGGTTTTCGCCGAGTTAAAAGTTGCACGTTTCTGCTTTTGTGGCTTCTCCGCCATTAGCTGTTACCCTTCAAAGTGCAGTTGTGACGGACGGCAGCACAGGCAGCCTGGGAAGGGACGGGCTGAAATCTGACCCCAAGAGGCGAGCAAAGAGGGGGGGCAAAGGGGGGGCAGGAACAAAAGAGGGATGGGCATTTTCTTCCGGGGTTCTCAACTGGTCGCCATGGAGAAAAATCTATCCAGGCGGGTCGCCAGGAGTTAAAAAGGAAGACTTGAAGGCGCATTCCCCACCCCCACCCCCATCATCACCACTAGCTGGATTTGGGTAGTGGGATAGGACTGTCGATGGCCTTTAAAGCCAGGTTCCGCCCCCCTCCCCCCAGGAAGGAGAAGATAGGACCGAGGGAGCCCCCACTCAATCCGACCTTTCTCTGAGCAGAGAGATGGGGTGGGGGGCAGCCAGACGAGGGCTGGAGGTTCCCCTTCCCTGCAGGAAGCAAAAGGGTGGCTTTCAGGGAATACAGAATAACAAGAGTCGGAAGGGACCTTGGAGGTCTTCTAGTCCAACCCCGTGCTTGAGCAAGAGACTGTATGCCATTCTGGACAAATGGCTATCCCCAGTGGTGGGCTTCAAATTCTTTTATTACTGATTCTGTGGGTGTGGCTTGGTGGGCGTGGCAGGGGAAGGCTACTTTAAAATCCCCATTCCCGCCCCACTCCAGGGAAAGGATACTGCAAAATCCCCATTTCCTCCCTATCAGCTGGGACTCGGGAGGCAGAGAATAGATGGGGGCGGGGCCAGTCAGAATTTTTACTACCGGTTCTCCGAACTACTCAAAATTTCCGCCTCCGGTTCTCCAGAACTGGTCCGAACCTGCTGAAACCCACCTCTGATCTATCCCTCTTAAAAACCTTCCAGGGATGGAGCAACCCACAACTTCTATCGATTGTTCTCACCGCTCGGAAGTTTCTCCTTAATTCCAGGTTGCTTCTCCCCTCGGTTAGTTTCCATCCGTTGTTTCTCAAAACCTGCCTTCAGGTTGTTTCGGAGAACAGGTTGTCGCCTTTCCATATTGGTAAAGCTGCTTCTCCTGCCGCCCCTTGTCCCTTTCCCGTAAACCATTCACCGGTAGGTTTTGGCCTTCAGATTCCCCAATCGTTTTGTAGAGTCTCAACATCTTTCTTTTTTCTTTTTTTCCCCCGTATGGGTGGGAGTCAGTTCTGGCCATGTAAAAACCCTGGGGGGGGGGAAGGGAGGTAGGAACTGTTTACTGGCGCTCGGGCAGCCGTCCAACTAGGAATAACTGTTCAGGGTTGCCCTTGCTGGCCTGTCTCCCAGCTGCAGAAAAGCCCAGCAAATTGACATTTTGGGGAGGATTTTTTTTTTTTTTTTTGCAAGGCAGACAGATGGCTTGCAAGTCTTCGTGTCCACCGCCCCAAGCACATTTTCTTGCCCCTCCCTCTCTAAAGCTTCTTTAATTACAAATGCAAACTCAGCTGGGCTTCCCTCCCCTCCTTCCCTTCCTTCTTTCTTTCTTTCTCTTTCTCTCTCTCTCTCTCTCTCTCTTTCTATTTTTCTCTCTTTCCTGTGCCGATAAGTGCTAACAGATGGTTCTCCAAACCAAATGGCTCTCTGGAATTCTTGGAAGGCTCTTTGCTCAGATCTTCTGATCCTGGGGGAGACACAAGAGAGGTGTCAGGAGACGTCCGGGGAGTCAAATTGCAGAAGACGAGTCTGTCCAGGGCAGAGACACTTTCGTTCGGCTATCTAGCAAATGTTTAGGGCAAGGAGATCCAACCTTGGCAACTTTTTAAAGATTTGTGGACTTCAACTCCCAGAATTCCCCAGCTAGATTGGTTGCTGGCTGGGGAATTCTGGGAGTCGAAGTCCACAGGTCTTAAAAAACGTTTGCCAAGGTTGGGCGCTCCCGGTTTAGAGAAAGAGCTGACCAGGATGAATTGAGCATTGTGCTAGATTAAAAACCAGAGGGACTTAAGTTCCCGTTTCCACACCCTGGATGGTTTTGAGACCCTCCCTGTCTCCCAGCCCCATCGTCCTCTCCAGAAATGGTTTCCGTTGAATCGCTGGGCAGACCAAAACATCCTCCCCACCCCCCAATTTTTGAAGTCTGGAGAGGTGGAAGATTTAACAGGAAGAGCTTATCTGTTTTGATGTCCCCATCCAGAGGCTGCTCACACCTTCTCCCCGATTCTGGCACGTAGATGGCATACGCCTGGCAGTTCCTGCCACAGGTCCACCAACATTTCGGGGACCGAACTTGTGAGTGGGCCCTGTCTTGTTTCCCAGCCCTTCGCCTGCCTGGCAGCTTGCTATGACCCCTTTCTGCCCCACGAAAGGGCTAGACCTGTCTTTGCAGGAAATGACCTGGGTTAGTATGAGAGGGCCTAGAAATCCGTTGAGGGGGATCTGGGGTAATCAGCAAGGTCCATCTTGATCTGAATTAGGGCCGTTGCAAAGAGGGAAATCAAAGTCCTTCTCCCACCAAAAGAGGTTTTATCATTATTTAGAATTTCTTTTCCCTGTCCATGGCTCAGACGGAAATTAATAAGGATTGCACAGCCAAGCTCATTATTATTCATGGGTTCATGCGTTGTAATCCTCGGTAGACTTGGAGAAAGTGAGTAGGATGACAGATCTGGAAGGGAGCTTGGAGGTCTTCTAGTCCAACCCCCTGCTCAGGCAGGAAACTACACAATTCCAGACAAATGGCTGTCCAGTCTCTTTTTCTTAGAAGCCTCCAGTGATGGAGCATCCATAACTTCTGGAGGCAAGTTGTTCCACTGGTTAATTGCTCTAACTGTCAAAAAATGTCTCCTTAGTTCTAGGTTGCTTCTCTCCTTGATTAATTTCCATCCATTACTTCTTGTCCTGCCCTCGGTGCTTTGGAAAATAGGGTGATGATGATGATGATGATGATAATATAATGATAACAACAACAACAATAACAACAATACTTGAACACCATTGGCATTGACAAATTTGCCATCAGTCAATTGCAGAAGGCAGCTTTCCTTGGAACTGCTTCCATCCTGCGACGAGATCTGTAACACCGTCAAAACATCCGGATCTGCCTATCCCAGGTCCTTGGCAAGGACTCGATAGGTAGACAAATATGCCCAACCCAGTCTGAACACCTGGCTGACCGTGCAATGATCAATAATAACAATAATAATAATAGAAATGCAGCAAAAGGGGCAGCATCCCCCCCCACACACACACACAATTCCCCGTGGCCTTGTCCAGTGTCCATCACCACAATTTCATTCTAAGCCAAATGGAGCAACAGCTCTCTGGCTATTCATAGTTCAGGGTCTTCCTAAGACCCCCCCTCCCTTTCAGCTTCTGCAGTGGGGTTTGACCAGTTTCACCCTCCCCATTGAGAATTTCAAGGCTCCAGATTTGCAAACCCTCCCCCCCCCACTGTAAACCACACACTTTTTTTTTTTTACAATGCTGTAAAAACAAGGACGTAATCTCTCAAACGTCCAGCTTGTGTTTGAGAACAAGCCCTGCTCCCAAGACAAACAAAAGGCGTCAATTCATTTTGTCCTTCAAACTGTCAAGATAGCAACTCGCCCACCCACCATTCTTTCTCTCTCACACCCCTCGTCAAGGTTGGAGGGTTTCATTCCTGGGCCACCTTGAGGCTCGTTAATCAGTATGGATCTTGCCTTCTTCCAAGGGGGAGAATTAATACTTTAACCCCAGAACAGCCTTCAGAGCGCAAATTCTCACTTGGGCTAAATAGCGACTTATCTCCAGCCACTTGCCTGGTTGGTGAACCTCTCTCGGATTAGGCTGTTGGGCTGGCAGAACAACTGGAACAGCTGTCCTCTTGGGACAATGGCTTATTCAACCCCAAATCTCAGTTCTGCTGCAGAAATTTGGGGGGGGGGGGGCAGGGGGGGAAATGAAAATTTTGTTCTTCCCGTTTCGGGGGGTGTGGTTGGGGGGGGGGGGGGAGGTAATGTGACAGTGGGCGTGGCCAACTTTAAAAAAAAACTTTTAAAAACATTTTTTCTGCAACCTCTTTGACCGAAGAGGTTGTAAAAAAAATGCTTTTAAAAGCCTCTGATGATCAGGCAACTCAGCTGGGATCGTCAGAGCCTTTTAAAAGCATTTTTTTTCGAAATGCTTTTGAAAGCCTCTGATGATCCCAGCTGAGCTGTGCGATCATCAGAGGCTCTTTTTTTTTTTTACTTTTAAAAGCGTTTTTTCTACAACCTTAAGAGGTTGCAGAAAAAATTGCTTTTAAAAGCCTCTGACGATCCCTGATGATCGCGTGGCTCAGCTGGGCATGGGGAGGGGAGGGCTCAGGGATTTTTGCTACCGGTTCTCCGAACCACCCACCGCCATCGCTACCAGATCCAGCGATCCGGTCCGAACTGGGAGCATTTCACCCCGGGGGGGGGGGGGGCTAGATTGGGATTGCAGGGTGCTCAGCCGTGCTCTTGACATACCCAGGGCCTTCCCAACCGACTGGCAGTTTATTAGCAATAAAGAGAATTTAGAACAATTAACCAGTGGTTAATTCTGTCTTGCCTCCAGAAATTGCTCCATCACTGGAGGTTTTCAAGAAGAGACTGGGCTGCTATTTGTCCTGAATATCATAAGGCAATTGGTGTGCAAACGTTTTAAGATTTCTGGACTTCTAAGTTGATCGCGAAATCCTGGGAGTTGAAGTCCACAAGCCTTAAAAGTTGGAGACTCCTGCTTGAGTAGGGGGTTGGTCTCGAAGACCTCCAAAGGTCCCTTCCAACTCTTTGTTTATTCTGACCAGCCCAAAAAAACCTGGCCACGCACCAAAACCTCCGTGCCTGGCCTTTTGAGTTCAGGATGGTTATTTTCAGAGCCCACGTGATCCCGAGGTTTTATTCTCCAGGTAAGCGTCCAAAGAGGAAACCGATCTGGCCTTTCGATTTAAAGGTCAGGAAGGCAGAGGATTTGGGGGAGGGGGGAGGACAGGGGGAGGGGAAGAGAGAGAGAGAGAGAGAGAAAGGAAGCGAGCCTTCAAAATGATTAAGTGAATTAGAAATTAATACCTCCCTCCCTGTTTAACCTAGCAGAAAGGAGGAGAGAAATGCAGACAGGAAGTGCCAGTCATGGGAAAGGGGAGACACCTTGGTGCTAATCCTGGCCAAGGGGTGGGAGGGGGGGGTCACCATGCAGACAGGAGCTGTTGTCTTGAGGGTTCTGCTTAGCTTCTGTTCCTCAAGCTCTTCTTTCGTTGGCCAAGTCCGTCTCGAGAGCCCACAGCTACATTTGAAAAACTCTGTAGAGATTCTCAGCCGTCCGGGTCATGGTGGTCCCTAAAATGATTTTTCAGGAGGCATCTGGACTTCCTTGTTTGTTTGTTTTTCTTTTGAAGACGTTTCGCTTCTCATCCAAGAAGCTTCTTCAGCTCTGACTGGATGGTGGAGAATGGAGCTGAAGAAGCTTCTTGGATGAGAAGCGAAACGTCTTCAAAAGAAAAACAAACAAGGAAGTCCAGATGCCTCCTCAAAAATCACCTTGACCTGGAGGACTGAGAATCTCTGCAGACTTTTAGCTATACAATTTGGGATGAACAGCCTTGGAATCAGAGATGAGTTTCAGCAGGTTCTGGAGAACCGGTAGCGGAAATTTTGAGTAGTTCGGAGAACCGGTAGTAAAAATTCTGACTGGCCCTGCCCCCTATTCTCTATTCTCTGCCTCCCGAGTCCCAGCTGATCGGGAGGGAATGGGGATTTTGCAGTAACCTTCCCCTGGATTGGGGAGGGAATGGAGATTTTACAGTATCCTTCCCCTGGAGTGGGGTGGGAATTGGAGATTTTACAGTATCCTTCCCCTGGAGTGGGAGGGAATGGAGATTTTACAGTATCCTTCCCCTGGAGTGGGGTGGGAATGGAGATTTTACAGTATCCTTCCCTTGCCACGCCCACCAAGCCACGCCCACAGAACCGGTAGTAAAAATTTTGAAACCCACCAGTGCTTTGAATGGTGTGGGAGTAGGAATCGATTTCCAGAGGGGAAAAAAAATAGCAGACTACAGGAAACTAGGAGCACAACTCGGGTGATCCTGAGGACACAGGTAAACCTCCAAGTGGCCTCAATGACCCTCTAAAAGGATGCAAATGACCAGCTGTCTGCAAGGAGTATCAATCCTTCCCTTCCCCACCATTCAGTCAGAGCTGAAGAAGCTTCTTGGAGGAGTAGCGAAACTACTTCAAAAGAAAAAAACAAAAGTTGTTTCAGTTGTCTCCTGAAAAAGCACCTTCGGGCGACATTCAAAAGCAGCTTTCTTCTGGATGTATTTGAAAAGCCCCCTCCTCCTCAAAATGTCCTGAGTTCAGACCTTGTTTGTGCTGGAGCCCTTTGAAGATTTTTTTTTAAAAAATTGAATTCCAACCTACTGCAGTCTGTCTTTAAACAAGGTTTAAATTCAACGGGGGCCAAAGTTATTTTCTCCCCGGCTGCCTGTCTCTCTCAGCTCCAGTTTCTAACCACTTCTTTGGAGTCGAACACACTGCCCCTTTGAGGGTGAAGGACAGAGGCTTGTGTGATTCAAACATATTTGCCCGACCCAGGCCTGGAGAAGACACCCAGAGCTCTGGAGGAAGCCTCCGCCAACGTTTTCACCGTGCCCAGGAAAGGCTGGGCTTGGTACGCGTAGTCCAAATCCCGGCCTTATGGATCCTCTCACCCGGTGAATTCGTCCTCCGCCTGATTCCTCCGCTCTCGCCAGTTTTGAGGGATATTAAATCATACAACCGTTCCACGCAGGATGGGCGGTTGGTGGTAATCTTGCAAAGAACCTCTTTGGTAAGGTGACCAATCGCCCTCATTTAGGAAGGACAGTCCTTCTTTTGTAAGTTCCGTCCTCTCTCGAAAAGTGTCCTCCTACACGTCCTCCTTTTCGATATTGGAAGGCTGATCTGTAAATCTCCGTATTCGATCGATGCCGATCCGATCCGTTGCGTGTGAGGTGACGTATTTGTATTTGACATGATGATTCGTCAAGGCTCGGTACAGTCCATCGAGACGCGATGATGAGACGCATGCGCTCCGCACAGGAGAATTGTTTTGAGGGAGTGCGCCGCGCACAAGTGGCTTTGTTTACGAAACACAACACGGCACACACGGACGCATTAGACTCATTGTTGCAATGAATAAAATGTTTATTTACGATGTTTTTTTTTGGTGTCATCATTGTAAAAAAGTTGGTCACCTTATCTTTGGGAGAAGGCCAACTGTTTCATGTTACAGACATCTGTCCCCTATTAGATATTTCTTAGGTCAGGGGTCAGCAACCTACAGCTCCGGAGCTGCATGTGGCTCTTTGGGCCCCCTGCTGTGGCTCCTTGTCAGGTGATCCCAACACTGGCTGGCCCCGCCCCTTGCCCTCCTCTCCCAGTCACTCCTCACCTGGCTGAGAAGGTAAGGGCAACAGCGGGGGATGGAGAAGCGGCCGGGGCAGAGACAGAGAGAGGGGGAGAGAGAAGGAGAGAGGGAGGGAAGGGAGAGATAGATATGTCAAAAGGATTTTGTGGTTCCCAATGTTTTTTAACAACTGGTTCTCTGCCCTAATGACCAGCTGAGTAGGCATGGCTTGGGGGGGGGGTCATGTGACCGGGGGAAGTGAGTGACATCAAGTTGGCCACGCCCACCCAGGTTTTGTGGTTCCCGGTGTTTTCTTTTCTGTGGGAAACGGGTCCAAATGGCTCTTTGAGTATATAAGGTTGTAGACCCCTGTCTTAGGTGATTACATGGCGGTATTAAATATTTCTCATTGGGCTTTCATGACATCTCTCTGAGGAGCCCTTCCTGAACACAATCCTGGCGGTACTTTCTGGCCGCAAAGGGCCTCCTCCCACCCATTCAACTCTCTTCTCTGAAGTTGCATTTCCCAGGCGTGGGGTGGAATATTCCCACAACCCACACTTGTATGGCTCCGAACCTGTCTTGCCTGTGGCTGGTTGGTTTTCTTTTTTCTTGGGTCCTCCAAAGACCACTGCATGTCCACTTGGCCAACGCTGTGATAGCAGAGGCCATAGTTCCCATCCTTGCTGAACTCCTGAAAGATGATGGAGGTTCTGAAGTTGGACTCTTCTTTGTGAAGACATGATGGCCGCGTTCTACAGTAGGCGTAGATTCAACCTTCTTTTCCTGGGTTTGGATGATAAGTTGAGCCTTGAACAGATCACATGATCTGGGTTCAGGTAATCGAGTTTAAGCCAACTTAACCAACATTGATTTGGTGATGAACATACCATCTATGTATCCAGATAAGGTTGTCTTCACTGTTCTGATGCTTATTTGGGGGTAAATTGACTTGGACCTCTAGATTTGACATAATAGGAATATAGGTAAAAAACATCAGTAAGAAATGGACTTATTGAGTTGGCTTCTTCTGTAGCTTGTGTCAGAAAACGATTCAGAATATTCTCCCTTCTTGATTAACTCTTAAATCTTTTGCTTATTATCCTATTTCTAGTCGAAGAATAGAGAAGCTTCAGCATATTGTAGGTAATATTCCTGTCACAGCATCTGCAGGAGGGTCAAAAGATCAAGATGGGGATTACCATCCTGTGTCAAAAGCCCCCGTCCCCCTTTTTTAAAAAAAAACATGTGCCGTATGTAGAAAACAGCGACAGTCTTTTCAACCATACAATCATGGTTACCATTTTGACTTTCCATCCTAACCTGTGGACACCGCTGATTCCTTCCAAACATTGGTGGAATGTTCTCCAGAACGTTGCCTTAGAATTTAGATGGTGACCCGTTCCTCGCAGTCAGTTTCTTCTTTCTCTTCCTGCAGAATTTTTCAGAGAGCTCCTGGACAACGCCGAGAAATCCTTGAACGACATGTTTGTACGGACTTATGGCCTCCTGTACACGCAGAACGCGGAGATGTTTAAGGACCTCTTTGTGGACCTGAAGCGATATTACGCGGGTGGCCGGGTCAACCTGGAAGAGATGCTGAATGACTTTTGGGCCCGTCTCCTCGAGCGCATGTTCCGTCTGGTCAACCCCCAGTATCACTTTTCGGACGAGTACCTGGAGTGCGTCAGCAAATACACCGAGCAGCTGAAACCCTTTGGAGACGTCCCACGAAAGCTGAAGCTGCAAGTGACACGGGCTTTCGTGGCAGCTCGCACCTTTGCCCAAGGCCTCGCTGTGGCCAAGGACGTGGTGGCCAAAGTCTCTGCGGTGAGTGGGGGCTCTTGCTTCAGGGGTGGGCAACTTGCAGAACCAATTTGAGGTGTGTGTGGGGGGGTCACTTTTTCATAAGGGGTATCCCAGACAACTGATTGCATTAATCGCTCAAATTTGAACATAAATTGTAGGGAGAACCCAAGCAATCAAGATTGCAGCTGCAGTGTGTGTCCAAACACACATGCACAAAAAAAACAAAAAAAATAAAAACCCCAAAATGCACAGGTACAGTAAATGTGGTACCTTGCTCAATAGTGGTGACAGTGAGAGGGATCTTGGAGTCCTAGTGGACAACCATTTAAATATGAGCCAGCCATGTGCAGCAGCTGCCAAAAAAGCCAACTCAGTTCTAGGCTGCATCAACAGAGGGATAGAATCAAGATCACGTGAAGTGTTACTACCACTTTATAAAGCCTAGGTAAGGCCACACTTGGAATTCTGCATCCAGTTTTGGTCACCACGATGTAAAAAAGATGTGGAGACTCTAGAAAGAGTGCAGAGAAGAGCAACAAAGAGGATTAGGGGATGGAGGCTAAAACAAAACATATGAAGAATGGTTGCAGGAACTGGGTAGGTCTAGTTTGATGAAAAGAAGGACTAGGGGAGACATGATAGCAGTGTTCCAATATCTCAGGGGCTGCCCCAAAGAAGAGGGAGTCAAGCTATTCTTCAAAGCACCTGAAGGCAGGACAAGAAGCGATGGGTGGAAACTCATCAAGGAGAGAAGCAACTTAGAACTAAGGAGAAATTTCCTGACAGCGAGAACAATTAATCAGTGGAACAACTTGCCTCCAGAAGTTGTGAATACTCCAACACTGGTTTTAAGAAGATGTTGGATAACCATTTGTCTGAAGTGGTGTAGGGTTTCCTGCCTGGGCAGGGGACTGGACTAGAAGACCTCCAAGGTCCCTTCCAACTCTTTTATTCTATTCAAACGGGGGAAGAACTTCAGTTGTGCAGCTGCTGTTGTCATCTTGTAGGAAAGATTAAACAATGTTAGAAAGTGTGAGAGTGGAGAAGGATCCATCTATTGGGGTCATCGACCCTCCCATGGCTGGCCCCACCGTAAGTTCACCTTCACGGAGAACCTCATGCGACAGTTGAGATCTGTAGACGAAGATTCTAAACAAGGCAGTGCGTTTATTTGGCTTTAATAGAGCAAAATTCCACTTTTTTCAAATGGTGCAAGCAAGAACCACTGAGGTTTTCCTTCTGTTAAATTTGAAAAAAAAAACGAGAGAGAGAGAGAGAAAGGAAGGAAGGAAGGAAGGAAGGAAGGAAGGAAGGTGATGATAATGAAGAAAGAGCTCTGGATGTATTCTTGAGCCAGGTCCTTGCAAATCTTTTGTCCTTAAGGGCACTCTTTAAATTCAGCCTAATTGACTGCAAGGAGCAGATTAACGCAGACACCCAACATTTCAGTCCCAGCTGCAAATTTGGGAGGCTGTTTTGTGGTCCATTCCCACCCACCGCCTTGCTCTCCGTCCATGGGAATTTATGCATATTTTTTTTGTGTGTGCTTTTTTGGAGTTCTTTGGGCTATGAGAACTTTTCCTTCAACGTATTCTCTCATTTCCCCTTGGAAATAGCAAAAGTCGGCGTGGGGAATTGTAATATTATTGAACCCCTGACAGGCATTAAAATCAACCAGGTTTAAATTGCTGGGCGACACGGAGATTTCCTGCCCAAACCTTGGGGGGCATTCTTATTATATATATTTAGAAGAAAGGAGGGGGGGAAAAGAAGGGGGGGGAGAGAAATATGTATGCCAGACCCCGCAGTGACTCATGCAAGAGAGAAACCTGATATTTTGCAACTCATAGACTAGAGAAATTTCTCGGTAATGAAGACCATATGGCATTCAAATTACGCTGGAGCCAAAAAAAGGAAAGAGGAGGGGTTTTTTTTTTTTTTTTGGCATGAATAGATTCTGGCAGCAGGGGGGGTCCACGCCCCAATTAAGTGATTAATCGGGGGTGTTTTGAAAGGGGTCTAATAAGGCAGGTGCATTCGATGGCATGGTCGCAGTCTGAAAAGGTTGCAGGCTTCCGAATGGCATGAGGTCCCAATCACTGCCTGAGATCAGAAGACAACCGAGCGATGGAAAGATTCCCCCGAAATGTCAGCCAATCCAATTTACTTTATTCATGAAGTTGCCCAATCTGGTGGGCTGGTCGTGTCAACAGGTTATCCTGCGCTTTCTGATTGGATGGGATCACCTAGGAAAGAGGTCTCCAACCTTTAAGACCTGTAGGACTTCCAACTCCCAGAATTCTGGCCAGGGAGTTCTGGGAATTGAAATCCACAGGTCTTAAAAGTCCACAAGGTGGGAAACCCTGCTCTAAATTAAGAAGAAGAAAAAAAAGCCTTTCGAATTAGATGACCGGCTGGGGAATTCTGGGAGCTGAAGTTCACAAGTTTTAAAGTCATCAAAGTTTGGATGATCAGCCTGACTTGGTGATTAAATAAGAGAGGAAAAAGACCGTAGGAAGGAAAATGGTGTGGATTTTTGGCCAAATCTTGTAATCTCTGCCTCGGTACAAAGTGAAGCTCGGCTAGGAAGCCTGTCATAATTTTGCAGAAAAAGTGCTTTAAATGGTGAGATTCACCATCGATGCTGATCTCTTCCAAGTTTGCTTTTGGTCCAGTGTGTGCCCTCTTGTGTTGTGTGATGTTTGTGCAAACTGCCCAAGTCATCGGGCAGCGTAAAGACCCCATTCGGTCATCCTCTTTCACCATCTTGGAGAAATTTAACAGACTGCAGTTCACAGATTTCTTAGCCTTCTGCCTATAATTTTTGAAAATTAAAAACGGGAACTCTCAGTGCTAAACTGCCCACACGCACCACACAAACACGTGGCGAAGTGGATTAAAATAACCTGCGAATAATAAACCTGTATTGTTGGCATCTATTTCTGTCTTTCTCTTGCATGACTGAAATAATTGTAAGAATCCTTAACGTGGACTGGGGTCCCATTCCCCATGCAGTCCTTCCGCAGAAGAAGGTGTGAGATGTTGACAACTCATGCGGAGATAAGTTGATGGTTGGGTGTTCAAATACCAAAGTGCTGTCTCCAGATTTTGAAGTCAGAATGGGGTGAAGGGGGGAAAGCATCTCAATAATTCTTCTTCCTCCTCCTCCTCCTCCTTCTCCTTCTCCTTCTCCTTCTCCTTCTCCTTCTCCTTCTCCTTCTCCTTCTCCTCCTCCTTCTTCTTCTTCTTCTTCTCCTCCTCCTCCTTCTCCTTCTCCTTCTTCTCCTTCCTCCTCCTCCTCCTCCTCCTCCTCCTCCTCCTCCTCCTCCTCCTCCTCCTTCTTCTCCTTCTCCTCCTTCTTCTTCTGCCATATCCGTCATCGGACGTTGGCAATCATGTTGGCAATCAGTTGGCTTCCCAAGAGAGTAGAATCACAGGGAAGCTCCCATTCCATCAGCCAGGAAGGATCATCTGTTCTCTTGGTGTCCCCTTCTTCTGTTTTTTTAAGGTGGTCATTGGAGGTGGGCAGAAAAGTAGACCAAGATAGCTTGGATACAGCACGGACACCTTCACCGTACCAGCTCCAGGAGTCACTGATAGCCGTGGAAAGTGTTCCACCTGTCTTAGCTTCCAGTTGTGGTCTTGTTCTCCTGGTGTCTTCTCCTTCTCCATCTGTTTTTTTTTTTAAGGTGGTCATTGGAGGTGGGCAGGATTGGGACAAACTGGACCAGGGTGGCTTGGATACAGCATGGACACCTTCACCGCATCTGCCAGCAGCTCCAGGAGTCACTGACAGCCCTGGGAGGCCTCCATACCTACCTTTACTCTTAGTTATGGCCTTGTAGGTAGAGATTATGGTGTCCTCCTGGCCTCAGACACATTTATAAGTGATGGTCAGCACCCATAACATGGTGTCTCTTTCTTCCTCTCTCCGTTGCCCCTCTCCCTTCTCCTCAAAGGTCAACCCCACGCCCCAAGGGGTTCGCGCCCTGACCAAGATGATGTACTGCCCGTTCTGCCGTGGCTTCGTGGCCATCAAGCCCTGTTACAACTACTGTTTCAACGTCATGCGCGGATGCCTGGCCAACCAGGGGGAGCTGGAGACGGAGTGGAACAACTTCATAGGTGAGCAGGGCTGGGTCGGCCTCTCTCTCTCTCTCTCTCTTTTTTAAAATGATGGAACAAAAGGGCTCTTTTACGAGAGCACAAAGGTGGCCATTCAGGCTTGGAGACTGGTTGGAGTTTGCTTTTGCCCACTGCTAAAAAAAAACTCGGTTTCCCATGAAGGGAAGGGTTGGTGGAGAAGATCCAGAGAAAAAAGAATAGAAGGTGTGGGGGGGGGATGGGGGGGGGGGGGGGGTTTCCCCCCCCCCCAAAAAAAGGCACTTTGTCCCCCACCGAGAAGACACTGCAGAGGGGGAGTTAGGAAGTCCTGTGGAGTGAAGGACGTTTTGGTTCAAATGTAAATATCCTTTGAGGGCAATGATCAGTAAGGGGTCTGGAATGGTGAGAGTAATAATTTCAGAAGGAGAAGAGCATGTGTGAGACCCTTCCTTCCTACCTTCCTTCCTTCTTCCCTCCCTTCCCTTCCCCTTTGTTGACCCTTCCTTCCTTCCTCCCTCCCTCCTTTCCCTCCCTCCTTCCCTTCTCTTCCCTTCCCTTCCCCTTTGTTGTTCCCTTCCCCTTTGAAGACCTTTCCTTCCTTCCTTCCTTCCTTCCTTCCTTCCTTCCGCTTTTCATTCCTGCCCCTTCATTTTTGGACCACTTGGGTCCTGGCTTTGCACCAGGATGATGTATGTTGATGTGGAGATGGCTGGCCAGCCTTCTGAATGACTCCGCCATTGATCTCTTGGTGCTTCACTGGCAGAAACGGAAGGACCTTCCTTCTTGTGGTCTCCTAATTTCATAAGAACCTTGGTTTCCCTTTTGGGAGCTCTCCCACCTCAACCTTCTTTGAGGAGAACAATTCTTGGGGATGGCGCTCATCCTGGCCTGTAGCCAGGAGTCCCGTGTCCTCCTTTTCTCCTCCGAGGAACCTCAACATCTGAATCGGCCAAAGTTTCTGGAGCGCCTCTTGGCCGAGAGCCTTTTTCCCGCATGCCGATTCTCGACTTCTGCTTCTGCAAACAGGAAGACCTGAAATCCACTTTGAGTAAACACTGCAGGGAAGGCAGATGGTCTTATTTATTTTAGATAATTTGTTCTGATTGCAACATTTCGGAGAAGGGTGCAATTTGAAGAGGCTGGAATCTCCCCTGGGGAGACTTTGGGAGGGTGGGGGAGAGACAGAATTAGAGGAGGAAGAGGCTGATCAGAAGTGCCGGGGTGGGAAAGCCGACAGAACGGGGGCCAGACTTTTCAGCCTGGTTTCTGAGACGTTGCGCTGTCTGCCTAACAAGCCCCCTTCCTGTAGATCAGGATTCACGGATTTTGAGACCCGACCCGTGTGAGCACTAATCAACCGTGTCTGCTTGTCTCTGGTTTTCGCTGCCTAGATTCGATGCTGCAGTTGGCCGAGAGGTTGGAAGGTCCCTTCAACATCGAGTCTGTCATGGACCCCATCGATGTGAAAATTTCAGATGCCATCATGAATATGCAAGAAAACAGCTTACAGGTGTCTCAAAAGGTACGTTGAGGGTGCTCTATTTAGGAAGGGAGCAAGGAGAAAGAAGGGGAACGGTTGAGTCTTCGGAGAGGGGCAGCATACAAATTGAATTAATAAATAAATAAATAAATAATAAATAGGAGTAGTAGTTCAGGAAAACATTTCCAGTGCTGGAAGAATCTCAGGTGGCTTCATGCTTTGTTGCCTCTGTTGGATGTTTTGTGAGAAAGTTCTCATCCTCACAAAAGTTTCTAACTACTTGGCACTCCAGAACAGAGGAAAATCTCTTGGTCTAAACCTCTTGGTCAACTAATTGGGCCATGAAATGTAAATATTGAATATAAAAACTTGGCTAGTCACCATAGATGATCAAGAATTCCTCACAGGCAAGGAAGTGAGATATCTCCAGCGGGATCTACCAGGGCGTTCAGGGATTAGGTCCATCATCTCTGAAGGTCATTGAGGTTACGGAAGAGTGACCTCCAGCCTGCTGCTACAGTCGCTTCATGAAAGTCTGGGTGGGGAGAGCCAGTTTGTAGAGAAAGTTCACGAAAGGTGTGAGGCTCTTATGTGTCTTCTCATTGGCCTAGGTTTTTCAAGGATGTGGGCAACCCAAGATGCTGGCACAAACCCGAGCATCTCGCTCAGCATCTGACAGCAGCTTCAGTGCCCGCTTTAGGCCTTATAACCCAGAGGAACGTCCCACAACAGCTGCAGGAACGAGTTTGGATCGGCTGGTGAGTACAGAGCCCTGGATAATGACTGTTACGGCTTGGAAGGGCCGCAATAGCACAGTTGAACCCACCGGTCAAGATTTTGGGGAGAACAACATGTCACAGCTCTGCTTTGACCTCCCAAAGAAGGAATAGGTCCAGAGGTGGGCTGCTGGGGGTTTGTAGGGGTTCGGGAGAACCTCTAGCTAAGATTCTGTGCAGTTCGGAGAACCCCCAAATCCCACTCCTGGCTGGCCCCGCCCACCTTGCCCCTCCCAGGAGTCCCCACGCGGCCCGTTTTAGATGCAGGTAAGGGCAGGGTGCACACGGACGCTCAGGGAGGGTGAAAAACAGGCCTATCAGAAGTTTGGGAACTCCAGAGGGCCTCCAGAACCTGGGGAGGCAGTTTTTGCCCTCCCAAAGGCTCGAGGAAAGCCTCCGGAGCCCGGGAGGGCAAACCACCATCACCCCCGCCGTGGTGCAAGAGGCCGACTAGGCCACGCCCACCATGTCCACGCCCACCCAGCAACCAGGCAGAGAACCCCTTGCTAAAGGTTTTGCTTTTTTTGCTTTTAAAAGTTAAAAAAAAAAGGCTCTGATGATCACAGCTGTGCCTTACCATCGTCAGAGCCCCTTTTTTAACCTTTTAAAAGCATTTTTTAGCTGAATAGGTTGTAAAAATGTGTTTCTAAAATTTAAAAAAAAATATTGCGCATCACAGCTGATCACACCCCCCCCGCGCGCGCTGTTCTCCTTACCCCATGCCTCCTTTTGGTGTGCACTGCGCATGCCTGCACCTTGCATTTGGTGCGTGGTGCGCAGCAAGCGAAATCAGAAGTAAACCGGTTCAGATTTCACCACTGAGTTGATGTCCATTTTCCTGAAAGATAACCCAGGAGGGGAAGGTCAATTGGTCAAGGGATGGATTAGATGCCACCCATCTCGTGAACACAAAACTCAATAGTGGAAAAAACACGCCATGAAATCGCAAGAAAAAAGTGGCTTTTGAGAATAAACCAGCCAGTGTTAAAATGAGTACTAAACTTAAGGGTTTAACCTCTCTTGGCCTCCGAGAGTGGATTGAAGGCCTTTATCAGAGGTCAGTTGGGTTGGGACCGATCTAACCTCAGACGATAAGGCATTCCACAGAGAGCAGGCACTGCCACTCAAAAGGCCGTCTGGGGAGTTCTGGGAGTTGAAGTCCACACATCATAAAAAGGCTAAGAGAGACTCTGCCCTGGAGAACCTCAACTAGCCAACCAACAAGAGTCAGGCCGATAAGAAAGGCAACTTCTGATTGTTGTGGCCCCGCCCTCTGAGCCTATCCCATCGGAGGAAGAAAGCTCCGAGCATGAGGAAGAGGAGTCAGCCAGGCCTCCCTCTCCAGGCCCCTCCCCTCTGGCACTGTCTCAGGTGCCGGCCGAGGGAGAGGAGATTAGCCGGGAGACAGGTGTCTTGGATGAGAGTGAGGGAGAGACATCATTCCTGGACGCACGCCTCCGAAGGCGTGATAAACGATTGCAGCAGCTCAGGAGGCATGCTAGGGACTAGAACTGAGTCACTGGACCACACCCCAGAGACTATATAATAGAGGGTGGTGGCCAGTGATCCTTGTGATGAACAAAAATAAACCTTGGATAGTCACTAAAGCCTTGTCCGAAACTACTGAGAGGAATATTTATTTTTGTTGGACTCTTGTACGCTGAGTATATTATCTTTCTGTTTCTGTGGAAATAAAGCACTTGGCAGACGGTGTGTATATCGCTGCCAAGTTGGAGATAAAGACCTGGGTGTGTGCCAAGTGCTTCCTTAACCCTCGGCTGGCTGTGTTTGTGTGTGTGTGTGGACGGGGACAGATCACTGATAACGAAAGGAGAGAGGTGGAATCTCATAAGGAAGCCGTTTGAGCTGGATTTTCTCTCATTCAACCAAAGGTGACCGACGTGAAGGAGAAGTTGAAGCAAGCGAAGAAATTCTGGTCTTCCCTTCCCACCAACCTCTGCAGCAACGAGAAGATGGCCGCCGGCAACGTTCACGAAGAAGAATGCTGGAACGGAAAGAACAAGAGCAGGTGAAGGATGCTCAGCCTTTCAAGGTGGCTCGTATGGCGCGTTGCGTAAAGCCAGAAAGGTTGGAAAGCATGGTTGGTGGAGGAAGCCACCGTGGCAGAATTCGCCTACAGGGCTTGGGGTTTTAGAGTGGTTTTAGCACGTTCCTGCAGTTTGTCATCCATGTTTCCTGGTTAAATGTTCCTTGTGAACCAGGTGGCTTTGGGCCGTGCTTAAAAGTCATGGCTTAGTTCATTCATCGATCATGCATCCTGGTCAACCATGGCTTGAGAAATCTCAGCTGCCGGATTTGCATACATGCTAAAAATGTTGTTTGTAGACCAGAAAATCTGGAGACACAGGAGACCAAAGCCTAACAAATCACCCCGATACTCCGTATCATCATGTGATGACCATTTTTACTGCAGTTGTTAAGCGAACCATGCAGTCATTAAGCAAATCCACCTTCGCGCTTTGCTTTCGCTTGTCGGAAGCCAGGTGGGACGATCACAAATTGGGATCATGTGATTGTAGGGCTGTACTACCGTCATCATTGTGAGTCGGCCGCCAGATCCCGATCACATCACCATGGAGATGGTGTGACTGGCTGTACTCGGAGGAGGGGCGATTGTAACTTTTTTTTCAGGGCCATCGTAAATTCAAACCGACATTAAACAAAATGGTTTAGTGGTTTCTTTGCATGTGGCCCCATTTTGTTATATCCTCTGCAAAATTAGGCGGGCTCCATCTGCCCGTTGATATTCCACCACTAATCGTAATATATTTGTTGTGGCCTGTTGGGCCGGCCCCTCCAGCAGCCGAATGAGAGGAGGAGGAAGAGGAGGAGGTGTGGGAGTCAGGGTCAGCATCAAGGCAACCTGAGAGCTCCGAGGGGGAAGAGGGAATGGAGCTGTTAGAGAGAGAGAGAGAGAAGGGAGAGAGAAGAGGAGAGGAGAGGAGAGAGAGAGAAAGAAGAGAGAAGAGAAAGAGAGGAGAGAGAGGAGGGAGGGAGAGAGGGGAGAGAGGGAGAGGGAGGGCGGAAAGGAGGGAGAGAGGGAGAGAGAGAAAAGAGAGAGAAAAGAGAGAGAAAAGGAAAGAGAGAGAGAGGAGAGAGAGAGAGGGAGGGAGAGACGCAGAGCCAGGGCCATCCGTCAGCCCTCAGATGGAGAGTCAACAGCCCCCAGGTCTGGAGGTGGCTGATGAGGAAGAGGAGGAACAGCTGGGTCCAGTGCCTGAGACGCAGATGCACAGAAGGCAGAGGAGAGGAGAGCAGTGGAAATCTATGGGCCAGTCCTTGGGACGGAAGAGCCACTGCTACTAACAAAGCCCCATTCTAGCTCTGGGGATAAAAGGCAGGAGGTGGAGATGAATAGATGTGGCAGACAACTATTCATCTCCGGGCTGGCCGGATTTGTTAGCCTGCGGTGAAAGAGAAACTTTTTGCCGGGGCTGCTGGTGCTCCTCATAAAGGAATCATTGCTTCAACTTCAGAGGGTTTGCTGTGTTTGGGAGCCGGGTCAGGACAATATTACTTCTGTTATAAATTTTTTTTAAATGGTGGTTCTTAATGACTTTGTCACGCTGCTCCGTGACCATAATGAAAACGGATTGATAAACGAAAGGCCACAACATAAATTGAGGATTACTTGCACCGAGTAATCAATCTTGCACCTGACCTGAAGCGCCAACTTTTCTCCCCAGGTACCTCTTCGCCGTGATGCCGAATGGCTTCGCCAACCAGGCAAACAACCCCGAGGTGGAAGTCGACACTTCAAAGCCGGACATCGTGATCCGTCAGCAAATCATGTCCCTCCGTGTGATGACCAGCAAGCTGAAGAACGCTTACAACGGCAACGACGTGGACTTCATAGATATAAGTAAGCGGATCTTGGTGTGCTGGGCGCCGAGCGAAGGCTCCGTGGTGTTGGGTGCCCCGGGAGGATGTTTTCCTGCACAATTGGCCTCTGAGCATAGGTCATTAAGCGAGGACCATTTGCAGCCATCCAAACTGCTATAAAAATGCAACTGCGCATCATCTTCAGATTAGTTCTGTGTTTTTCAGCCTTGGCCCCTTGAAGAGGGGTGGACTTCAACTCCCAGAAATCCCCAGGTGTGATGGCTGGGGAATTCTGGGAGTTGAAATCCATCCCTCTTCGAGGGGCTGGAGAATTCTGGGAGTTGAAGTCCACCCCTTTTCAAAGGGCTGGGGAATTCTGGGAATTGAAGTCCACACCTTTTCAAGGTTGAGAAACACTGGATTAGTTTGTAACCTGTGTCTGAATTCACAAGGAGAGGCACGTCAGCAACCGGAAGAGAAATCTCAGACAGTTGGTTGAATCTTAACAAGTGGATTATTATTTATTTTCTGTTCCTTTTTCCCCACCAGACGACGAAAGCAGCGGAGAAGGCAGCGGAAGCGGGTGCGAATTGCACCAGTGTTCCCCTGAACTGGTGCTGAACGCCACCGAAGTCACACAGAACGTCAACAAAATAGATCAAAAAGTGATTGATTTGGCCGGCAATTTCGGCCCATCGGAAGCCGTTCTTCTCTTAAGCCTCTTTTTCTTCCTCGTGGGTCAAAGACAATGGAGATAACTAGGCCTGTGCTCCTCCTTTTATTATTATTATTATTTTTTTAAAACCGTCAGAGAGAGAGGGAAAAAAATGGACTTTTTTTTTTTAAAAAAGAAAGAAAATATGCCGAGGGGCCGGATTTCACGTTTATACCACCAAGAGACATTTTGGGGAAGGTTTCGGAAGGCTCTTTTGTAAGTTAAACAGAAAAAAAACCCATGTACAGTTTTTTTTTTAAAAAAAACTCTTGTTGCCACTGGTTTTAAATCTTTTTTTTCCCCCTGCCCTCTTTTCACTTTTTGGAAAGGCGGTGGGGAGTGGGTTGAAATCACAAAACCATTTGGGCCACTTAATTTGATCTGTTGACTGAGAAGCCACAATAAATGTGGGACATCGAGTGTGTATATACAGGCCTGTCATTAGCTCTGTTGTATGTGGTTGCTTTTTTTAAAAAAAAAATCAGGCTCTTATCACCCTTTCTTCACCATCTCTCTTTCTCTGTTCCTTTAATTTAATTTAATTTTTCTTTCTTTTTTTTTTAAAGACAAAAATCACCTGGTTCTAGATTGGTGTGTCTGGAGGATGATTCCTTTCCTGAAATTTGGAAATTTTATCTGTACAGAAGTGGACAGATAATTTTTTTTTTAAAAAAAAGTTATCGTATTTCATAGGCAACGAGAGAAGTTGCTTAAAAAGCAACACAAAAATCACACTCTTTTGCCCAGACCTCACCTGAGGCAGGTGTTTCTTTAGAAAGGAAGAGGGATGGATTTTTGAGAAGAGCGTGTGAAGAGTTGGTTTAATGTACTTTTACTTCCTTTTACAGAGAGTCTAGGTCTCCCTCTTCCCGGAGGATAGGGGCAATCTGCATTTGGGGAGGGGGCTTGCGGGTGTGGCCACATGGGGGACAAAGTCAAGATGTCACTCCCAGAGTGACAGAAAGATGGGGATTTGATGGCATCATTGCGGCTGCCATTTTGACCTTGAATGTCCGGGGGAGGGGGGGGTTGGGTTGGCTCAGAAAGAGAAGAGCCTGGGAGCACCTTTGGGTCAGTTCTGAAGGACCAATTGACTCAGTCAGACTCGCTTTCCTTAGTGATGGGTTCTTCTGGGAAATAAATTTTGGTAGAATTCCTTCCAAGGTCCTTGTTAGTGGAATGGTGGACCGCCAGGTCCAGGCACACTGTTATGTTCAATTTGGAAATGATCTTTTGGGATCCAGGAGAGGGTGAAAAGAATGCGTTGAGAGAAAGCAAAGCTATCTCCCAAATTTTTGGTCCACCTGGAACTTCCCATGGCTGGAACAGCCCGAAAAATGGCATAAAATATCGTGTGAGGGCTATAGGGAAGACCCAAAACCAGTCTAGATCTTTGTCCTACTTTTGAACAGTGTCACCATCCTACATGTAAGTTTCCCAAAATTGTTGTTGGGAGAATGTTTTCGTTCTTGCAATTTTTGCATTCTTTTTATCTTTCCTCCATAGCACAAAGTTCCTAAGCCATCATCTTGCGAGGGTATTTTAGGTAAATCTGGAAGGCCTTCGATTGAGTTTTAACGAGTTTTAACCGATCCCACGGGCATAATCTTTCCAGAAGTAGCCCACTGATTTATTAAAACACCCTCTTGCTAAATGAGGCAAAATTTAGGCTGACTCTTTGCTGTTTTTTTTTCTCTCCCCAAACGTACATAAAGACATAAAACCTGCAGAAGGAATGTACATATATATATGCATGGTGTGTGTCTCTCTGTGTGTTTATTTTAAACAGCTGAAATTCTTCTCCGTCCTCCTTTTTTCTCCAAAAAAAATAATAATGTCCTAATTGCTTCAGAAACTACCTCATTCCTCAGGAATTTCCTTTTTAGCTCACCCCCCCAAAGGCCATGAATCTGCAACGGAGTGAGTTACACCCTACAGATTGCTGTCTTAGATTGCTGAGCCCAGCTGTTTGGTATTCAGATCTGCTCCCTAACAAAGGGATAATTTTCAAAACACCGTTTTTCATCTTTTCTTTCCTTTTCCAAAGATTTCTGTAGCCCTCTTTACGAACCGCGCCTGGCCACGTTTTCTTTCTGTTACCCTTCCAAGAACTTCTAGAGTTGTCCTGTTCGGGATTAACACTAACCAACCCAAAATGCGGGAATCTCCTGCGCCTGAATTTTGTTTTTTGTTCGTTTTTAGAGAATACAGGTAGCTCAAGACCACCATTGAGCCCAGGATTTCTGTTGCTAAGTGAGACGGGGTTTGTGTTCGATTTATATTTGACAGTATGCTCCGTTCCATATTTGTGTAGACCAGGTTGCCCTGATTAAAAAAAAAAGACTTACTGTATTTTTCAGAGTATAAGACGCACCTTAGTTTTTGGGGAGCAAAATAAGAAAAAAGCTGATTGGCAGGTGGATCAGCCCGCAATCAGATGTTCCCAGAAGTGAATTTTAGCAACAGGTTTCTTGGTTGTGAGCTCTATACCTGGCTTTTTTTTTTTTTGCTTTTTTTTCTGCCTCTGAAACTTCTGAAACAGCTTCAGAAAAAAAGCCCCTGAAGCTCTGTTTGGAGGCTTTTTTTCTGAAGCTTCGTTTTTCTTCTCTTTAAAGTTTGTTGGCGGCGTCAAGCATGAAGAAAAGATGGATGCTTCCTCCTCCTCCTCTTCTTCCTCCTAGCCAGCTTCTTGGGAACCAGTGCTAGATTTCTACTCCAGTGTTTCCCAACCTTGGCAACGTTTAAAGAGATCTCGATTTTCGACTTCCAGAATTCCCCAGCCAGCATGGAGAAGTTGAAGTCCAGGCTGCCAAGGTTGGGAAAATTTGGTGTGGACGGGATAGAAATTGGCTTGCGAGAACCAACCAGACCTACCAAGAGATGCTGTGAGATGAAGAACCTGAAGACTTGGTCTTCAGAAACTGGGGTACACTGGTTTTCCACGCCGGTGCTCCAAACTTCTTCAGCGTTGGGACAGGATCTCTAAATTGCTTTGGGCTGAGCCGCATCTCTGGCATCCATCGCAGGAAACATCTGTCGGGTGGTTCCTGGTGACGCATCTTCACATGTGTTGCTGTTTTCCCCTCTGTCTTATGTAATGTTAGGAAAGGAAGGAAAGGGGGCACTTAAGGAGAGGTGGCATTGCCCCTGGCAGGATGGGCACGGAGTCAAGTGTTTTTCAAATGGCAAAGCCCTTTTCTCTGATTCCAAGCCGAAGGAATGGTTTTGAAGCTCAACCTTCTTTTTTTTTTAATTTTATCTCCTTGGACCGGATGTCCAAGAGAAGCAAGAGATTCTGTAACCTGAACCGTTGTGCGGCCATAAATAGCTTTTTATAGGGAGCAGAAGAGAGAAGAGCCTATCAAATAGATCTTCCTCTTGGAAAAGGGGGTTTGATTGAATCCTATGTGGCTTTATCCTTCTGCAACCTAAAACAGTGGGTGGGTTTTCTTTGCATTGAGATGGGGAGACACCTCCCCACCACCGTGGTCACAGGCATCATTTTAGCACAATTTTTTCTAATTTTTTTAAAAAAGGAGCTAGGTTGTGGGAAATGACCCTTTCCAAGGCAGGTTACAACTGTGTTGGTGGCGCAACAGACTAAAGCACTGTTAAATAACACCAGCTGCCTGCAATTACTGCGAGTTCAAATCTCACCAGGCACAAGGTTGACTCAGCCTTCCATCCTTTCGAGGTAGGTAAAATGAGGACCCGGGTTGTGGGGGCAATAAGCTGACTTTGTATAAAAAAGAACACCGCTTGGGGGGGGGGGCGTGAAAGCCCTACTAAGCAGGTATATACAAAAGTATGAAGGCTATTGCTTAATGCATTGTAAGCCGCCCTGAGTCTCCGGAGAAGGGCGGGATAGAAATCGAACCAATAAATAAATAAATAAACAGAATAACAGAGTTGGAAGGGACCTTGGAGGTCTTCTAGTCCAACCCCCTGCCCAGGCAGGAAACCCTACACCCCTTCAGCCACTTCTTGGCTGAAAACACGTGATCCGGGCCAGTGCGCCTCATTTGCAGATAGGATAGCAAGATTTCCTCTGTCCTTTGTGGTTCCTTTGTGACATTTTGCAATGATTTTAAGGATGGAGAGCGGGAGTTTGGGCAGGACGAGAAGCAACGGATGGAAACTCATCAAGGAGAGAAGCAACCTAGAACTAAGGAGAAATTTCCTGACAGTGAAGACAATTAACCAGTGGAACAACTTGCCTCCAGAAGTTGTGAAGGCTCCAACACTGGAGGTGTTTAAGAAGAGATTGGACAACCGTTTTGTCTGGAATGGTGTAGGGCTTCCTGCCTGAGCAGGGGGTTGGACTAGAAGACCTCCAAGGTCCCTTCCAACTCTTATTCTGTCCTGTTCTTTACAACTTCTTTATTGTCTCAGTTTAGGCCGAGCAAACTTTTGAATCCGGCTCTCCGAAGTTCTGTGTTCTGCATCAACTGCATTTTAAGCAAATGTGCAGATGGCAGATCGTTCTTTTATTTCGCTGATGGTAGAATGGTGTAACTTTACTAGATTTTGTCAGCCCTTGAGGTGATACTTTCTGAAACTCTTGACCATTCAGCCAGTGCCTTGGCGTGACATTTAGTAAACACTCCCAATGTACTTTTTTAAAAAAAGTTATTTTCGAGAATGAGGGTTAAGATTTAAGTTTCTTCCACCGAAACAAAGCAAAACTGCACGCCTGAAGTTCTGTTTTCCTCCACAAAAACCCCCTGATGTGCCCAATGCTGAAGATGGGAGTAGGCCAGCCTAGGTTTCAACCACAGGTTTCTCGGAATAAGTCAGACGCTGAACCCCAGTGAATGTTGGGCAGTGCAAGCAAGATAATCCTCTTGCTTTGGCTGACTCTGCAGTTCCCAAAATACCTCAGTTCCCATCTCCATCCATCTGGGTTGTGGTTGCCGCTTCACAGAGGGCCCTTGGAGGAATTGTGTGACAGAAATAACGAGCGTACACGTCGGCTTTCTCTCCAGGAAAAGCCAACGCTTTTGGTTTCTTGCATGGCGACATGGATGAGAGCCCACAAATTTGAGTCCAGCTAAACCGATGTCGTAGCCTTGCCCTCTTCCTGGAGACGAGTTTGAGCCGAGATGGGCTGGCTCAGCCCTTTTGGCGGTCTTGAGGTTGGAGCGAAGGAACACCTGGCTCTGTGTACGTTGCATTTCCTCAAGGTTTTCTCTCCTAGTCAGCTTCAACCTTCAGCTCCGAAGTCTGGAAATGGACTCATCGCATTATGGAATTTTCATAACTTCATAATTTGATTCTCAATCCTCCAGGTCATCTTTGTTCCAAAGGTGCTTTTCCAAAGGGCAACTGGACTTAACTTGGTTTTTTTTCTTTGGAGAACGTTTTGCTTCTCATCCAAGAAGCTTCTTGGTTGAGAAGCGAAATGTTTTCCCAAGGAAAAAAAAACAAGGAAGTTTTAATTTAGG